TGACCAACCTGGGCCACAGGTCGCCCGGAACCAGTCGCTGCAGCTGTGGGCGCTAGGGGTCTTGACCCGCCAGGACCCTGAACACAAGCACACGGAGGCTCCCCAAAATGGGGGGGAGCAGGTATCGGTGACTCTCAGGGCTGCCTTCACGGCCGCTAGCTGGGCCCCGTCGTCACGAGGGCCGGTAGGCGGGGAGCCTGCCTCCCCAGGTTTCTGCAAGGACAGCACCACCTCCCCAACAGGGAGTGGGAAACCGACACTGGTTTTTCCCCCAGGTCTGGGCCATCTCCTCCAGGAAGCCTGTTCTCCGTATGCTTCCCAGGCAGAGGCACAGTCATGGGCCTACTGGTTTCCGCCTCCATTACTGCCTACGGTCCTCCCTTCTTCCCCTGGGGACTCTGGGCTTGTGTCTGTTCCCTGTGCCTCTTGGTCCCTCCCCTTCTGGATTAAGCCTGTGGTTCCTGTCGCTGCCTTGTGAAGTCACCACTCTGCTCGGGTCCCACAACCAGCAAATCTCCAGCTCCTCTGTCCCCAGTGGTTCTGCAGTTTTACTGAACTTCCCCCCACCAAAAATCTTTATGTTCCTAGGAACATGACACAGGTGGGAGGTGAGAATCAGGCAGAGCACACAGAAAAGACCAATGATGGTATCAGGCCCCACGGCTTTCAGAGATGCTCCCTCCTGGCGTCTCCCTCTGGCCCAGGGCTTCCCCAGATGGTGGGCTGCCAGCAATACTGGGAGGGACGGCTGAGGGACCCATGAAGCCCGGTCACCCGGCCCACCGAGGTCTCTCCTGGGAGGCCTATGGGCTTCGAGCAAATGGGATGCAGCCACTTTGCCCAGACACACCTGTATGTGTAGAAGGGACATACACAGGTCCTCCCTTGGGGACCAGACTCTCCCCTCCCCTCCGCCAAGCCCCACACACAGCACAGCCACCAGGTCCATCACCCACGCACCCTGTCTCCCGCGGGAAAAAGGAGAGCACAGATTTTGGCAAAACAATTTTATTGTTTAAAAAATACATGTTCCATTTGACATACAAAAAGTCATTTTAAAAACTCTGTTCTGAATGTGTCTGACTGTCTAAGACATCTCTAAGTGTCCACTGCTTCCACAGAAACCAGGGGCAATCTCTGCTCATGCACGAAGACAAGGCACTTTCCTGCTGCTCGCCAGGGAGGGCTTCGCGCCTTCGGTCTCCCCACCGCACAAGGACACGGTTCCCCTGAGAAAGGAGGTTCTTGCCTCTCTGCTTGCCAGGCAGAAGCCTGGTACGGAGTGTCCCAGCACGGGACGCCTGGACACGGTCTTGACCGCGACACCCACTGGTTTCCCTGCTGGCCCCACGCCCCATCTAGGTCTCTTGCTGGCCCGGGATCAGCTCGGCCTTCCCGGCTGGAGACAAGACCCCGCACTCAGCCCTTGGTTGTGGGACCAGGAGGAGGAGACTGTACAGGTCCCACCTCGGAGAGCTGGATGCACTCTGGGCCCTCGGCCGGGGCTAACCTAGCATCCCGTCCTTTGCTAGTTAGGTATCTCATGACGTCTTACGACCGACCTCTCTAGACTTCCGTAGCAGGACAGCTAAACACCACACCGGCGAGTCTGTGCGGCATCTGCTCGCACTTCCACTTTCACAGCGAGCTACGAGCCATTCAAATGTGCTCCCTGGGCTCTCAGCAACCGAAAATGGGTCTGTTTACCCGGCCTGCACCAGAGGGGCGGAAAAGATGCAGAGACTTCCTGCAAAACACCCGAGAGCGGGGCAAGGGGTGCAGACAAAGACCACCCTAGGGAACGAACACACAAGCAGAAGCATAACTCAACTAGCCCCCCGCCCCGTCCGCCTTCAGGTCACGCACAGACACAGCCCCCGGGGGTCCGCTTTGCAAACAGAAGCTCCCCAGGGAGGAAGATTCCCCAAAGAGATCACTCTCCCCAGCTCGCTAGGATTTCAGAAATGCCTCCTCCAATCTCCTGCCGTTTCTGTCTCGTGCTGGTGACAGCACTGGTGAGCTTGTGCCTCGCTTAGCACCGAGTCTTGCATGCCGTGCTCACACCCCACCCGGGAAGCCGAATGGGGGCCACGGAGCACCGCCTCTGGAGAAGACATCTGCCACTGCATGTCCCCAGAAACATATGCCGGTCTGGGGTCCCGCTTGCTCCAGCGGGTGACGACACGTGTGGAGGGAAGACTGCAGTGTCCCGCCCCAGCGTTGACAGGCCACGAAGGGACCGTCACTTCCATGGAGACGCCACAGGGTGTGAGAGGGGCCCACGGCCCGCCAGCGCCCCCTGCAGGCCCCCTAGCACCAGACGGAAGCTGGACAGAGCCGGAGGCTTGGGTGAGCTGCAGTGGGCAGAGGGCCAGCAGGCCCCACGGGCGAAGCAAGCCACACTCCCAACCAGGCGACACTCATTGCTGGAACAAACATACCCAGAGCCTCTGAGCACCGGGCGGACCGATTGAGCCGCTCGCCCCTGTGATGTGGCCGGACGCCCCCTTGGGCTCCTGTTAGCCGCCGACGCTGGTGTGGTTGGAGGACGGGACCCCGGAATGAAGCGAGCAGCCCCTCAAGCGCCCCCAGCACGGGCTGCAGCTGTGGACCCAGCAGAGGGTGGCAGGAGGCCCTGGGGTGGGGGCTGGGGGTGGTACAAGCAGCAGAGGCTGACAGCAGGGGACGGCCCTGTGACACTGGGTGGCAGCAGCCCTCTCATGGCCCTCGGCCCTCTGGGTTTGTCTTTCAAGGGGCGGGCGGCCGCGGATGGCACTGGCCGGCCACCACGGGCCTTTCCCTGGGCCTTGTGCGTTCTCGAACACGCCGCCAGGCAGCTTCTCTACAAGCTGCCCGAGGTCTGCAGGCTCCTGTCTCCTTAGGAGAAAAACCTAACGGGATAAAACCGACACAGACTGAGTCTACGCTGCTTATGTGAGGCTGCATGTGTTTTTGTTGAAAATAAATTTTTTTTGTCCCTGGAAAACTAGACAGCGGGAAACCACCCCTTAAGGGCCTATGGAAGCTTCCCCCCTCCTTTCTCTGCCACACCGCCCTCGGCTCTCTGGACAAACGGCGAAGCGAGGGAGCGAGGCAGAGCAGCAGCGAACTCTGGGCCCGGGGAGACGACCCGGGGCGGGGGGCACTCCGACCCGCCAGCCCCAGGGTGGGACTAGAGCTCTGTCTGCAGAGAATCGAGCAGCAGTGGCCAGCGCGACACGACTGTTTTGACTCGCGGTCAGCAGAGAACTGTGCTCCCAGAGCAAACTCGGAGTCTGGCTTACGACCACCTGGAAAGCCCCTCCCTTCTCTCCCCACAGCACATGGCGAGGTGCTCGCTCGAGATGCTAATACCAGCCCCCCAGGTCCGCGAGGACAGGCAGGCTCCCGCCCGCCCCTCGGGGCACCCTGGCCTGGTGGCATCAGACAACTGCTGTTCTGGTGTCCAAGTCTCTGCAAACAAGGACCCCCTCACATTCCTCACCGGGAGCATGAGAGAGTGGAGGCCATTGAGCACAGTGTGTTGTGCCGGCCCGGTCCTCGTCAACCCCTTGAGGAAGGGAGCCGAGCACCCGGCACGGGGCGGGGGGGGGGGGGGCGTGGTGGGCAGAGCAGCACCCACGCTGGGGCCACAGCAGCCTCACTGCAGCAGACGGGCCCGCGGCACGAACCTGGGGAACAGCCCGGGCTCCTGTCCCAGCGTGCTCCCTCGTGGTCCCCGGGTGAGCTCGACACGGGCTCCCTTCTGCACCTCGGGGCCCTTGGCTCACAGACAGGGTGAAGTTGGATCAGAGCAGCATTTTCCGAACTATGCATCAGCTCAATCTAACAGGGTCTACGCAGCTTTTCTCAAACACGAAAAATAGAAACTGGAGGGTGTCTCACGTCCTAAGGTAAGAATCCCTTCATGGAACTTGTGCGTGAGGCAGACTCGCACATGAACGTGATCACGGACTCCCGGGATAAGGTGTGCTTCCGGCCGTGGGTCACAGTCTGGAAAGGCGGAACACCACAAGTCTAGGTGGCCCAGTGCAGGACAAGGGAGCAAGCGGACGCAGGGGAACACTGGCAGGGTCTCCTGGTGGACTTTTCTGCTGTGATCTCAGGACACCACTTGGCCCCCCTGCCCCGGCCCCCGCCCCGGCCCCTGACCCATCCATGGATGAAAGCAGGACCCTCCGCTCGGACGGGAGGTCCTGGGCTCAGGCCCACAGACTCACTATTATTCAGCAGTGGTGACATCAAGAGCCTGCTGGCCTGTTACAACCACAGAGGATGAAGTTCCTGAAGAACGCATGGGGGCGAGTTCAAGGCCAAGGGCTCCTGGGCTGCCGGGAGGGGAGGGGAGGGAAGGGACGGCGTAAGAGCACCCCCACATGGCCACAGGAGGCACCGGGCCTGCAACCATCCGTGTCCCCTCAGGAGCATGAGCCCTGGAGGCAAAAGAAAACAGCTAAAACGCAGACCCCCAGACACAGAGACTTGCCGACCTGGGACCGGGGAGAGCTTTGTCAAGGTTAGCTCTCCCGGTGTAAGGAGACCTATCCTGTCAGAGGGTCGTGGGAGGCCAGGGGGCTTTGAACACGAGAGCCTTTCCCACAGAGAACCCCCAGCTCAGGCCCTGGAATTCTTTTCAATCCATAGCCTTGAAGAAAGTATAAACAATCAAAAGCAGAGAAATGCGTCTGCCGACATATCTCCTCACCAAGGAAAGCCCTCAGGGTGACACCAACAGCTGACACAAGGTGTGACTCTAAAACAAGAGAGCAGCCACCCGGGAAAAATCGGGCTCATTCCCTCCCAGTCCTGCCTTGGGAGCATGAGCATGTGGGCAGCTGAAATACCAACTAAATGTGTGAGAATATTTCTTAAAGGAATTTCAGAGAGACACCCACCCCCCGCCACTGTTATCAGCCTGGTGCTAATGGAGAACAGAGCACCCACCTCCTCTCAACAGGGGCTTCCTGTCTCCCCAGGTGGTCAGTGTGTCGGTCGGTGGTGCCAGGAGATGCAGCAGGAGGGGCCAGCAGACAGCAGGCAGACAGACTCCGTGCCCCTGAGAGGTAGTGTGAAGAGGGGGGGCTGCTGCCTGCCCCCTGGGGGGCTGCAAACTGGTCAAGTCCCTGAGAAGCCCTTGGGCAGCCAGTGCCACCTGGGAACCGCAGCCGCCCTGTGGCGGAGACCCAGCCCCTGTCTGGTCAGATCAGAGCCTCTGGATGGTCCGGACGATTTCCCTCACATCTCTTCCCACAAACGACGTGTCCCCATCACAGAAAGACTTAACCGGATCTTGCGTGGTAAAGCAAGAGAGTACACTGAGAGTGGAAACGCCCACAGGAAGTCTCCTGAGGTGTAAAGGACCCTCTGGAGTGAGGGACCCCTGGAATGGCCGAGTCATCTATGCCCACTGCATATCACGAAGGGGGTTGGCCAGAGAATGGAGAGTGGGCAGGGGGCCTCCCCCACACAGAGAAGTTCACCTACAGACAAAGGGAGCTCCAAACAACACGTGCAAGAAACTTCCCACTGTTTGCTGCTGTGTCACTGCTACCACCCTTCATCTGTCTGCAGGACAGCAGGGAGACAGAGGGGAAGGGAACCCAGAGAGACAGAGCAGGAGGAAGCAGCCACAGAGAGGCCAGGACAGTAGGCTAAATGTCAGAGGCTCGGGAAGAAAGAGAGGGATAGAAGAAACGGCCAACTCGAGGTCTCCAGACGGTTTCTAGCACCTGCTTCGCATGGGCACTGTACCTGATGGACACCTGTGTCCTTCTCACTACTATCCAGTCGTCTTTTCCCCAGGAGCCAGTTCAAGGATCACCTCCTCCAGGAAGCCTTCCCTGATTAACCTTAGCTGTTGCATTTCTGCTGAAGTTGGGAGCTTCCACACCGTCTTATTTTGTGCTGGCTGGTGTTATCGTGTAACTGCTGCTGGTATGTTCTTAAGGTGGCTATTCCTCTCCTGACTTGGGACTGGAAGCTTCTCAAGAGCAGAGCCTCCATTTCTTCCCTGTGTCTGTGTCTACCCACCACAATTGGATAGAGACTGTCAAAGGGATTGGGATAAGGCCTGGTCCTTTCCTCTCTGGGAACTTAACCCTGAGGCATCAGATTCCAGAGGGCCAGGGCAGGTGGCAGGACTAAGGGGAAGGGGACAGGACAGGGGAAAGCAAGCGTGGGAGTAAGCAAAGGCCAGTGGCACCGTCATCCCAGGAAAGCCTCATAGTCCATATACCAAACCAGCTGGCCAGAACTAGGCAGGACCCCCGAAATGGGCCACTTCTTAGGCTCATGGCCCACGCGGCTCACCAGCATGGTGATCTCCCGCTTCATCCTGCCCATGACGAGGATGGCCACCTTGCGGGCACGGTTGATGAGTGGCAGGCTGAGGCTCATGCGCTGGTGCGGCTTGGAGGGGCTCCTGGTCAGCACCACTGGCTGTGGGCCCTCCAGGCCGGCGGGTGACTGCGGGAACAGGGAGGCCGTGTGCCCATCCGTGCCCATGCCCAGCAGCACCAGGTCGAAGCTGCTGTTGGTCACCAGGGCCGAGATCTCGCTGGCGTACATCTGGGCGCCCTGGTCCTCCTCGGCACAGAGGCGCTGGTGCAGGTGAACCGGCATGGGGTGGATGTTGTAGTAGGGGACCCTGACGTGCTGCAGCAGGTGCGCCTGTAGCCCCTGGAAGTTCGACTCGGGGTCTCGAAGCGGGACGCAGCGCTCATCCACCAGCCACAGGTGCGTGTGGGCCCAGGGGAAGCCGTAGTGCCGGGTGGCCAGCTGCTGGAACAGGGGCACGGGGCTGGAGCCGCCAGACAGCGCCAGGTGGAACTCGCCAAAGCGCCGCACCGCCCGCAGAGCCGTGGCCTCGATGTCATCGGCCAGCTTCGCGATCAGCTCCTCGGGCCAGGCCGAGATCAGCGGGCTGTCCCGGTACTTGGACTGGAGAACCTGGAAGTCGCTGGGACTCGGAGCGGAGCCGGGCCCCGGCACCAGCTGCTCCGGCTGCTGCTGGGAAAAGCGCACCTGAGTGCCGGTAAACTCGAAGTCCAACAGGTGCCCGTTCGCAGCTCCTCCTGGGTAGAGGCGCGGCGCCTCGTGGGCCAGGCTGTCCAGCAAGGGGGTCCAGAAGGCCCAGGAGGCCAGCAAGTTCTCGGTGGTGATGAACGAGTCCTTGCGGCCGTGGAAGATGTGAGATATGAGGACGGAATAGGCGTCCTGCTCCCTCACGGGGCTGTAGGCATAGAAATCCGACAGGGGGCGACCGAAAAGGCGGAGCCCAGGCCGGCCCTCCACTTCCTTCCAGCTCTCGGAGGGCAGGGAGGGCCTGAACAGGTTCCGACTGACCAGCACGGCGGGGCTGCCCAGCTCACCGTGTCCGATGTAGAAGACGATCTGCCGTGGCAGGCACTGGCTCTGGTCCGCCACCCAGCGCGCCTCGGTCTGGGCGCAGTAAGCCTGGTTCCGGAACAAGATCCGCACGTAGCCCACTCTCTCATCCAAGGCTTTGCCAGACATCAGGATGAAAGGGACGCCCTCCCAGCGAAGGTTGTCCATGTGAACGAGGATGCCTGAGGTGGCGGGGACAACGGAGGTGACACGTGGGCACAGAGAGCCCAGGACTTCCCAGCACACCCACCTTCCCTTCCCTCCCTCCCCAAGCCCTTCTCGTCTCGGAGCCCCTCCTCTAGGCAGGTGGTTTGAAGCACCCTAGGCCTTGTCATGCTCAGCCTTTCTAGCATCTATTCAGTGCACAGTCAGTGCTCGAAACGCAGCCTCTGGACCACCTCAGCCACCCCTCCGTGAGGCGCCTTACGGTCCTAGCCTCCCTGCGCCAGCAAAGGGAACTGAAGTCTCACGGTGGCCTCCCTGCGCCAGCAAAGGGAACTGAAGTCTCCCTCCCACTTGCAGAGCACCCGGATGTGCCTGAGCCAAGGCCAGACAGGGGAGAAGGGGCAGGGCCGGGGCTCTGAGCCCACAGCAGGGTGGTGAGCAGGTGGGGGGGCAGTGCGGGGGCAGGCACATGGAAGTGGGAGCCAGGAGCTCAGTGCCCTCCTGACTCGGGTTCCCCGCCTGGTTTTCCCACATACTGCCTCCGTATGACCTTGAGCAAGCGTCTGAAGTTCATGGAGCCTCTGGTTTCCTGACCTCGGAATGGGAGTAGTAATGCTGCCTGCATCCCGCGTCCGTGCCCTCAGGGACCTAGGAGGTGGCCTTTAGCCGGGGCCTGGCATGTCCTCAGTGCCCCACGGACAGCCGCCGCTCCTGGGGAGGAGCTTATTACCTGCAGCCTTAGGGGGCCGGGCCTCTCCGGGGGCACTCTGGGCCTGGGAACGGTCCACGGCACGGCTCGGGAGGACGTCTGAGCAGCAGGGAGACTGCCTGCTGGAGGTGCCTTGGGCTGTGGCCGGACCGGTCTGTAGCCTCCCCGGGGGGCTGGTTATAGGCAGAAGCTGGGTCTGTCCCCAGCTCAGAGAGCTCCAGAAGCGTGTGTAGATGCGGACCGGACTGAGACCACCGCCGGGCGCCCTTCACCCAGAACGACCCACCAGGTCAGCTACTGCCGAAAGACGCCCCAAGGCCAGAGAAGCAAAGGACCTTCCTCCTTGGCGACAAGCCCCCTTGTACATGTCCCACCTGAGGTCTCTTCCAACCCAAACCAAAGGGCATCTGGACTCGGGAAGCTGCTTCCAGTGGGGGGCAGCCCCGGGGCCCACCTGCGAAGGTCGGTGTCAGGCTGTGGAAGCTGTCTGGCTTCTGCTGCTCTCGGCGCACCTGCCCGCTGTACGCCTGGTACTGGCCCAGGACGGCGCTGTCCTTGTGCAGGCCCCGTAGAGCCTGGAAGGCCTGGAGCTTGTGCTGCAGCACGGCCCCTGAGCTGCTGACATTGTAGGGCAGCTCCATGGCCACGAGGCTGAGGACCTCCGTCAGGTGGTTCTGGAGCACATCGCGGATGACGCCATACTCCTCGTAGAAGCCGGTGCGGCCTACACGGGAGGGGGTGAAGAATGAGCAAGGTGCCCGACCACCCCGAGGCACACGGGGACCCCCCAACCCTGCACCCCAGCCCTGCGTACCCACTCTGCAGCCGGCGACCTCAGACCCCGGGCCAGAGAGCTTACAAAAACAACTTAAGCCAGAGCCAACCTCAGCGAGAGAAGGAAGGAGGGTGTCCTTGAGCATTCTAAGTGAAGCTGTCAAACTCCTTGGGCCTTCCCAGGAATCTGCGTGGGGAAGGGTCTGGTGCCAGCAGAGGCCAGAGGGCATTTATTGGCAGATGTGAGGCCGGACTCCTGTCCCCCGCGTCCCGCCCCCGGCATCCGTCCGCAGGTGTGGTGCTGCTGGGGGCGGCGGCATCACGGCAAGGGCCTAGGCTCTGGGGTCTGAGTGTCGCTTAGGAATGTGTGATCCCGAGCATTTCCTGACACCTGGGTCTGGTTCTGCCCCCTACCATTAAATGGGGTCAACGGAGAGAACCGGAACTTCCATACTCACAAGATCATGATGTCGAGAGGAAGAAACATGCTCGCTTTGATAACATGAAAACCAATTTTGAAAACAGGATATAAAACAACCGGTGTATTTAGAACTTCAATAAATGAAAAACACAACGGGATATTGGAAATTCAATGGGTAGGTTTTATGAATTAAAAACAGGTGGAAAGAGTCATTAGAAGACAGATCTGAAGAGATCAACCTGAATGTAGGATAAAGGGACAAAAAGAATCCCCCCCCCACACACACACTGTATGCGTCTCCTTCAAAACTAAACAACAAACTGTCTAGAGCATCCGACCTACATAGAAACGATAAAGAGAAGCAAAGGAGTGACCTACCCAAAATCTGGAATAGTTAAGGAGAGAAAAAAGGATAGGATTTGGGGAAGGACACAATAAGACTCCTTTTAAAAAGCGGCTTGGTGGGTACGCTGGGGTTTGCTCTACCGTACTTCTTCATGCTATGATATTTAATAGGAATTCTTTATTATCTAGTCAATGTTTAATTCAAACAAGCAAAAAGCAGCGGCCCCTGGTTTAGAACTGCCTGGTCCCGCACACTGCCTTACAGGGGCCACCCGGGGTCCTCGGCACCAGCGCTGAGCCACCTGCCCCAGCCCGGCCCGTGGTGCTTGCTCACGCCAGCTGGACGGCGAGCAGGACCAGCCATGACTGGCAGAACGTGCCCTGAATGCAGCCCAATAGGCCACGTGTCATGGGGCAAGAAATTAGCCCAGAAGCCCGCTCATAGGAAGGCACCTTTGTCCTCGGCAGTAGGAGCCTGACCCTTTTGTTCTCAGACAGAACCTGACGATCCAGTCCAACGGTGCCTCCAAAACGCCGACCCCCCACCCCCTCCCACTGCCGAAACAATGTCTGAGAACCCCCAGCCGCACAGGGTTCTGGTTTCCAAAGTTCTTACAGTGTGGCTGATAAGACATCAAGAAAAGCCAATAATTCCAGTAACAGGGTCTAGCAGTCCATTTACTCCTAAGAGTCGTGATCTGTAAGGAAGTCTTACTTTTATTTCTTTTTTGCAAGATTTATTTATCTATTTATTTGACAGGCGGAGACGCAGCAGAAGAGGGAACACAAGCAGGGGAAGTGAGAGCGGGAGAAGTAGACTTTCCGCTGAGCAGGGAGCCCAAAGTGGGGCTCAATCCCAGGACCCTGGGACCATGACCTGAGCCGAAGGCAGTCACCCAACGACTGACCCACCCAGGTGCCCCAGAAGGTCTTCCTTTTAAAACACAAATTTTAATTGTAAAAATACAAGGAAACTGGGATTCAGAGAAGTTAGGTAATTTGCCCAGGGCCACACAGCTGACAAAGGAGTAAAAATGAGACTGAACCCAGAGCCTGCCATTCTTAGCACCCAAAGACCCCCCTTTCAATGTCCCACTACTCCCACCTAAACAACCACACAAGTGAACATTAAACTCGGGAGGGGAGCTGAATGGCACAAGTACCAGCGGCTAGTGGGAGTAGCAGGAAGAGGCAAGCAGAGCTTTGCCGGAAGGATGGATCTAGGTCAAAGGTCAGGGACCCCAAAATCCTAGTGGAGCAAGTCACAGTGGGAGGAGGACAGGGCAGGGATGGTGTCCGTCAGGACTGTTAAATGCCTCAGCTGCAGTCCCAGTGGTGCCTCACAGGATGATGGGCCCTGCGTGACCAAATCTTCCAAATTTTTAGGAGAATATGAAGGTTTGGATTAAGTAGAATCTTGTGATTTTTTTTTAAAGATCCTATTTATTTATTTGAGAGCGAGAGAGCGAGGGAGAGGGAAAGAGAATCTGAAGCAGACTCCACACTGAGCACAGAGCTCAACCCCACAATGGTGAGATCATGACCTGAACCAAACCAAAAGCTGGACACTTAACCGACAAAGCCACCCAGGTGCCTCAGGATCTCGTGATTTTTAAGTGTGCACAAATAGCTGATTTTTTTTAATGCTGTATACCTCAAAGAAATACATATATGAGTGGACTCTGCCCTGGGCCACACCCTAGCTGGGGTACACATCATGAACCAGAGGACAGAGGCCCCAACACACAGTGTGTCCGACAGCGGTAAGCCCGGCCTGGCAGAAGCAGTGGTCTGTGGTTCGGAATAGCAGAAATCCAGAACAGACGGAAAGGGACTTGTAAACGAGGCTGAGAAGTCTCCAGGGCTATTAAAAGTTCTTTTCTTCCACCAGTTAAACAGAATAACCATGTGGTCCAGCAATTTCACTCCTGCGTGCACACCCGAGAGAAATGAAAATGTACACAGTCACAGACATGGGCACACAAACTATTCACAACGGCCGAGGACTAGAAAGAACTCAAATGTCCATCAGCTGATGACGGATGGATAAAATGTGGTCTATCCAATAGTCTGTTGGACATTATTCCCAAGAACGACAGAAGTCCCGGCGCACGCTGTCATGCAGACGCACCCAGACACCATGCCGGACGCCGTGTGCTTGGCGAGAGAAGCCAAACCCAGAAGGCCACCTGAGGTGTGAGGTCGCCTGGACAGGACGTGGCAGGAACAGGCAGATCCACAGACACAGAAAGTGGGTCGGCGGTTGTGTGGGGCTGGGAGGGAATGCGGATGAGGATAAGGGGTGCGGGGCTTCTTCTGAAGACAATAAGAACATTCTAGGGTTGCCTGTGGTGGCTGCCCAGCTGTGAGTATGCTAAAATCCACTGCGCTGTATGTTTTAAATGGGTGAATTGTCTGATATGTGACTTGTATCTCAAATAAGACTTTTTCAAGCAAGTGTTAGAGCAGGAAGGGGAACCACGACAGAGGCGCCGTGGGACTCGGCCCTCGCCCACCCACCTGCTGGACGAGCTTACTGTGAGGGGCCTGGTGGTGATGCAACCAGCAAGGAAGCATTTGGGGCAAATCCGGGATGTAAGGAGGAATCAGTCAGGAGATGAATACAGGCTGTGCGGAGGCCGATCGGGTCGTGACCTGGAGTGTGGTCTCCGGAGCCGAGAGGTGTGGGTTCACGTACCCGCTCTGTCACCTTTCAGCTCTGCGACCCCACATGAGCGGTCCTCACTCACTCGTAAGTGGGGGACAGTGGCATTCCCCCCAGTAGCCCTGAGCAGTAACGAATTAACCCATGTACGGGGCTGGGAATGGTGCCTGGCACACAGGAGGCGCTGGGAGGTCCCAGCTAGGATCTGTGTTATTACAGGAGCTGCAAGAGAGGGGCTACCGGCCAGGTGACACGGGGGACCGTCATCATCTGGAAATAAAGAAGTCTGAAAACGCAGCTGGTGTTTCCTGAGAGAAATTCAATGACAGTTTACATTCGAAATCTGCTGAATGTGCAGTGGCGACGGTGTCGAGAAGGCCGCAGGCAACGAGGGCTAGAGATGTCCTGAATTTCATGAAATCCCAAATGCCCACGATGGCAAAGGCATCGCTGTTTTACAACTGCTAAGAAATGGACGAGCCGCTGGCCACGTCAACCATGGCGCCCATCAGTGTTACATGCAACTTCAGAGATGGTCAAGTGTAAAAAAAAAAAAAAAAAGGTGTCCTGGAATCCGTGAATTACAGGTTTAAAAGTATAGATGGGATATTTAAAGCTTAGAGAACAGATGAATTTTGGATGGAGGAACACAGCAGGATCCTTAAAAGCCCCGCATCTGTTTACTACTCATTAGCTTAACAAACCCCTCAGTAGCCCTCTTCCTATTTTTATCCTCTCTCCATCCATGGGGAGAACGCACTTCACAGGTGTGCCACCCGCTGAGTAAAAGACAGCTTCCTTTACTCCTTAATTTCAAGCTTCGGGGTCATCCATGTTTAGCACAGGCTCCCATCCCTTCCTGGTTCCTTCTGCCTTTTTGCCTCACCTCTGCCGGAGAGACAACCACAGAAGTCAAGTCGGGGCCCCGTTCTCCTGACAACGCCAACTGCTCCGGTTTCCTCCCTAGTGACCACCAGTTATTGTGGCTGATTTTTCCTGAAAATATCTATACTGACTCCTGCTATCCTTTCCTAGACTGAAAGCTGAGGGTGAAGAACCCACTGATGGATGAACAAGGACAGAAAAAGTCTCGACCACATCGGAAAAGTGGAAGCAAGCCCTCCAACAGCCCGGCTTCCCCACGGCTCAAGTCCAGCACCGTCCAAGATCACAAGATCGCAACATCACCAGCATGGGAGACCCGCTTGCCCCTCAGCTGTGCTGCTGCTCAAACCTTCGTGGGTTAGCATCCCATCGAGATGGGATGTTGAGAAGCAGTGTCCCACGTGCTTAAAGACGACTCCCACGGGGCACCTGGCTGGCCCAGCTGGTAGAGCACGCAACGCCTTATATCGGGGTTATGAGTCTGAGCCCCACGTTGGATGTAGAGATTACTTAAAAATGCAAGCTTAGACGGGCACCTGGGTGGCTCAGGGGGTTAAAGCCTCTGCCTTCCGTTCAGGTCATGATCCCAGGGTCCTGGGGTCGAGCCCTGCATCGGGCTCTCTGCTCTGCAGGG